AACACAAACCAGGCTGGGATTCTGTGATATTTTTGAGATCTTTGAGATTTGAATGAATTAACCTCATTAAGAGAAAATAACTCATACAAAGGGTTACCAGGCAAGCGTGGAAAGCGCTGCAGAAGTGAGGAAGCAGGAGATAAAGTAGCTTCATTTCAAGCAGCAGTTGTGGTGAAAGGTGTATTCAGACAGAGAGGGAGAGATAATCGACTGACTGTAAGAATCTAAATGGGTGAGTGTGGGAAGGGCACTTGTGCTGAGTGGTCTGAAATGTGTGGTAACTCAATGTACTCTCTTTGGTAGCAAAAAAGCATGAGGCCTGAACTAGTGTATTGCATTGAGTTTTGTTTTTATTAGAGGCACAGACCTATTTAATCTCTCTGTTCATAAACTTATTAAACCCCTATTTAAACAATTTAATTTTTGTCCTGTTGTTCCCATTAGGAATTGTTCCAGAAATGAGTCTTCTATTGGCTGAGATTCTAATAACAGGCCTAAATGTTTCCATGGCAGGTTCATAACCATCTGACTTAGTGCCAGTACTGTCCTTTGCTTTAACTAGTTCATAATTCCCTCTCCTTGGGGTTAACTTCCCAAATGTTCACCTCTCCCACCCCCAACTTGTTCTTTGTATGCTCTAGAAATCAGGTATTATCACACCCTGGGTTGGGGGTTTTTGTTGGTTAGGCTGGGTTTTTTCCCCTAACTCTTATTGTATTACTCCTTAACAGATTTGGTTACCAGTGCCTGAATCTTGCAATTTCATGTGCTTATTTGCTCATAACTCCATTTTGTTGTATTAAACTCTTCCAGTGTTCTCCCTACTATGCCTATAGCAATTTTAGTTTCCTTGCTCCTCTGTTATCCTTCGTGCTCCTAATGCCATGTTCAACATTGTTATCTTCATGGCAAATGGAATAGATTCTTTATCTATGTTTGGGTCGTAGCAAACCTGTAATCTCTGCTTCTGCTGTTTGGTTTTGTATTTGTTCCAAGCCTCCTTCGGTAGGGTTTCTTGCTATATCTATGGTGACACCTGGCATGTGCTGGTTTGGGCTGGGGTGGAGTCAGCTTTCTTCATAGTAGCTACTATGGGGCCGTGTTTTGGATTTGTACTGAAAACAGAGTTGATAACAGGGATGTTTTCGTTCCTGCCAAGCAGCCTTATGCACGGTCAAGGCCCTTTCTGCTCCTCCCTCCACCTCACCAACGTGCTGCTGGGGGTGCACAAGGAGCTGCGAGAGGACACAGCTGGGACAGCCGATTCCAACGGCCTAAAGGGATGTTCCAGCCCACAGGACATCCTGCTTAACAATAAATGGGGGGGAAGGCTGGTGGGGAGGCTGCTGCTTGGGGACAGGATGGGCATAAGTCGGTTGGTGGTGAGCAATTGCTCTCGTTCACATCCCTTGTCTTTCTTGGGTTTTATTTTTCTCTCTCTGATGTTCTTTTTAGTACAAATATTATTAGTATCATCATTTTATTTCAATTATTAAAATGCTTTTCTCTCAACCCACGACTTTTCTCACTTCTACCTTCCAGTTCTCTTCCCCCCCATCCTGCTGTAGGCAGTGAGCAAATGGCTGCGTGGGGCTTGTTGTTGGCTGGGGTTAAACCACAACCAGATACAAGGTACTCTTGGTGTGTGTTCTACTGTGGGCCTGATCCAAGCTGGGAATTCACATGCGTGTGAGAAGAAAGCACAAGCGTACAAGAAAGTGCCATTTTTTATCTTAGTGACTGGAATTTGACTTCCATGTGAGGGTAGCTCCTAAGCTACACATGGTGTAGCCTTTTGGAGAAGTACAGATTGCTGTGGTGTGGCGGTTCCTCATCCTAGAACCACTTTGTTTTGCTGGGGGATGTTCACTTTTCATAGAGTCATAGAATCATAGAATAGTTAGGGTTGGAAAGGAGCTTAAGATCATCAAATTCCAACCCCCTGCCATGGGCAGGGACACCTCGATCTAAACCATATTACCCAAGGCCTCGTCCAACCTGGCCTTGAACACCACCCGAGATGGAGCATTCACAGCTTCCCTGGGCAACCCATTCCAGTGCCTCACCACCCTCACAGGAAAGAATTTCCTCCTTAGATCCAATCTAAACTTCCCCTGTTTCAGTTTTAACCCATTGCCCCTTGTCCTATCACTACAGTCCCTAATGAAGAGTCCCTCCCCAGCATCCCTATAGGCCCCCTTCAGATACTGGAAGGCTGCTCTGAGGTCTCCACGCAGCCTTCTCTTCTCCAGGCTGAACAGCCCCAACTTTCTCAGCCGATCTTCATACAGGAGGTGCTCCAGTCCCTGATCATCCTCGTGGCCTCCTCTGGACTTGTTCCAACAGATCCATGTCCTTTTTATGTTGAGGACACCAGAACTGCACACAATACTCCAGGTGAGGTCTCACGAGAGCAGAATAAAGGGGCAGGATCACCTCCTTCGACCTGCTGGTCACGCTCCTTTTGATACAGACCAGGACAGGGTTGGTTTCTGGGCTCAAGCACACACTGAAGCCAGCTCATGTTCATTTTCTCATCGACCAGCACCCCCAAGTCCTTCTCCTTGGGCTGCTCTGAATCTCTTCTCTGCCCAGCCTGTACCCGTGCCTTTCCCCCCTGCAGACCTTGTCTTCACACACTGAATACCCCAAACCCTCTTTTTCACAGTTCAAGTCTGAAGTGACATTCAATTCTAGCTATTAATGGTCACTGTCCCATTTCTTTGGTATTGTTCTGGGGGTTTAAGTTAAAGTCTTTGTGCTGACAATCCATGTATAGTTGGTATTAAAACAACATTAGCTATGGAAGAGTAGTGAAGACATGAAAATGGTCTCCCTGCATCCTGGTTGTTCACAGAAATGTGTAGTTTATCAGATAACAGGAAATAATGATCTACGTCAGTATATCGTCACAACTCCATTGTGAAGCACTGCTTGATGTGCTGTTGAAGTGACCTGTACCTGAAGCAGACTTGTGCACACTTTGTCCTTCTGCTGACAAACAGGCAAATTTGGGTTCTGAACAATAATTCACAACATTTATGTGTATAATGTTGTGAAAATTCAGAGGTCCTTGGGACACAAAGAATAGGTTTGATACACACAAAGCATTCCCTGTGCTTTTCTGTCTCCTTTGATGTTAATGATGGGCTATTTTGTACAGCCTCCACTGTTAAAACCACCAACCAGAATATTTAAGCTGAACCTTAATTCAGTTCTTACAAAATGTTTGTGTGGGTCCAGACAGCACCGATTGTTTCCTGAAGGCTGGAAAAGAAACCTGGAGAGGGGCCTGGGACAAGGGCCTGTAGGGACAGGCCAAGGGGAATGGCTTGAACCTGCCCGAGGGGAGACTGAGATGAGCTCTTAGGCAGAAGCTCTTCCCTGTGAGGGTGCTGAGGCGCTGGCACAGGGTGCCCAGAGAAGCTGTGGCTGCCCCATCCCTGGCAGTGCTCAAGGCCAGGTTGGACACAGGGGCTTGGAGCAAGCTGCTCCAGTGGAAGGGGTCCCTGCCCGTGGCAGGGGTTGGAGCTGGAGGAGCTTTGAGGTCCCTTCCAACTCAGTCAGCAAGGATGGGCTCCCCGTGCTGGGATGTGTGCAAACTTTCCACCTCTTCAGTATGAAAGCACTTAATTATCGGTAGGCTTTACTAAGAACGAAGTGGCTACCTGTGGTGTAACTTGTCAGCTCGATGCACCACGGCCTAACCCCACTCTGGCGACTGGCTCTGGACACGGTTTGGGCTACAGGGCGACCAGGGCTCTCCGTGCTCTGACGTACCCGTGTGACCCCCGTCTTGTGTGCGAGGAGAGCCCGGCCCTGGCCCTGCCCCTGCCCCATCCCCATGCCGGGGGGTTACGGCCGTGCTGAGGGGCACCGGCCTCCCCGCCGCCGCCGAGCCGTGAGGTAACGCGGGCGGGGCGCCAGGACGAGGCGGGGCTGCGGCCGGCGCTGAGCGGGGCCGCTGAGGGGAGCGGGCGGCAGCGGCGGGACGCGGCGGAGCTCCTCGGTTGTGACCCCGGGAGGCGGGCGAGGGAGATCCGTGAGTTCGCTTTTGGCTTTTATGTCCCCGCGTTTCTGCAGCTGAGGTTTCTGGCGGCTTTGCCGTGCCCAGAGCGGGGGGTGCCCCGCGGTAAAGCCCTTTGGGTGTCGCCGGGACGCACTGAGGTGTGTGTGAGGCTGGTGGCGAGCGTGGTCCTTCCCTCAGGTCAGCTCTACAGGGCCAGCCAAGTTCGGAGGTGGCACGGTGCACCCAGGTCAGACCTGTTCCCTTCTCCTCTTGTTTTCTCTTGAGGCTTAATGCCTGAGGCAAAAGTAAAAAGGAAGTCTAGTGTGGTTTGTGAGTCAGTGATGCTGTTCTGCTCGGGTAGAAGAGTGCTTTGGAAATGTAGTGTTAGTTATTGACATGGCGTTCATAAACAGAGTTTGTAACACTGAGAGCCCTGTAACTACCAAGCGTGGCTATAGCACGAAGGAGGTTTAAGTAGCTGATAACACAGGAGCCCTGCGAGGAAAACCAAATACACGTTCAGTGAAAAGCAACGAGGGAAAGTGCTTATTAAAACCACTTTTCTCTATGGCTGGCTTAGAATCAGGACTATTCATGCAGCATCAGTCTCCAACGGTGTGTCAGGAGCGTGCGCAAAGTTTAGTACTGCAATCCAAGCGGGACCGCTCTGGGACTGAACGTTGGCTACTGGGGATGCAGGAGCTGCTGTGCTCTCTGCCGCCTGCCCGGTGCCGAGGGGAACCTGCCCGTGAGCGGTGTGGGTGTGTGAAGTGAGGGGGAAGTTCCACCAAAATCAGGAGGAATTGTACAACCTGCAGGAAGTCTCTGGGATTTGGGATGTTTTGCTGCTGAGCCGAGAGGAGAGGCTCCATCAGCACACCTGGAGCTTGTTTTGTGGCTCTGGGGTCATGCATGAGTGAGACGAGGGTAACCCTGCTGCTAGTTCCACTGTACTGAGTGTAGGAAAACATGGAACTTGGGTTGCTTGGTTAAGGATTTCATATTAAAAAGCACACATATTTAACGCTAATCATGCTCATTGCTATTTAACCTGTTCCATTTACTCTCAACTCCTCATTAGTAATGTTTTCTAATACACTAAATGACAAACAAATGTGATGAAATTCTAAGCCCAGGAGGGCTGACCAACAACCACTGGGCTTGCCAAAACCAATAGGACTGGGAAGCCCTCAGCACCATTAAAGAGCAGGCCAGGAGACGTGCAGAGGCATGATTACTAAAATATGGCTATGCTTTATAGAGATCTTTTAAATATTTAAAGCCAGCTGTAGTGGAGTGCTTGCAAAAGTCAGGGACAGTTTGTGTGCCTGCGGGATTATGTGCCTGCTTCCCATTAACTAGCAGCTGTTGTTGTTTTTTGGGGAGGGTGGGAATAAGGATGGAGAGCTCCAGACTCTGCATGTGTGTGGGGTGCATCATTTGAGGGGAAAAAGGAGATCCTGGCAACTTTCTATACATATCTATAGGCTTTCAAATTGCTCATTGGAAAACACTAACGTATTGTGCTCTGATCATACAACATCTGCTCATCTGTTCCCTTTGTTGCTGTCAACCCTGGGGAGAATTTTACAGCTTGAGTTTAGTGGTGTCATGGTTGTGTGTACCAGGGTTCTGCTACTTGCAGCATCCAGGATGGGTTGTGGAGACTTGGCACTCGTGGTCACCAGTGCCACCCTCTGTTCGCTGGTGTTCACACTGGACAGGTAGACTTGCCGCGTACCGCGGTCCTCTTTTCCCATCAGACCTCTTTCTGGAGTTCACAAAGGAGGCCTGCACAAATGGAAGTTATCAAGGCAAGGAAGTGAAATAAAAAAGCAGCTCCAGAAGGAAAAGGAAAACTTCCAGTGCATTTTCCATGCCCAGTGAGCAGGTGTCTGTGGATCACAAACTGTTTATTTCAGGCTGTGCTGAAAATGTTTCCCTTGCTAATATGCCAGTGGGTTTTATAACTTCTCAGCTGGCCTGTAAAGGTAAATAATCTCACTTTCCGTGTTGTCCTCCTTGTCATATCTGCTGTGTTTTGGTTTTAATCAGATGGTTTTGTCAAAGCAGGGCTTGCTGAAGTTCATTGCACAGTGTTTAGTGTGGAGAGGAGCATAATATTTACATATGAAATTGGAAACTTCTTGTACACAGCAGCAAAGTGGGTGGTTTCAGAATGCAGAATCTTAACATAGACCTGTTAAAAAGGGCCTTGATTCCTCCTGTTTTATAGATTCTTCTCCAGCCACTCATAAAACCATTTGTCCTTGCTGTGTGAACTTACTCGGACTGGAACACAACTATAGTTACAAGCTTTTCTGTTTTTCCTTTATTTAACTTCCTGTTCCCTGTAACTGTTCTTGTAAAACTTGCATTCTGCCTACAGTGAAGTTAGGAATTGTGATAATTTCCATATTCTCACTAGAAAAGGTATTTGTCCAGTCAAGTACTACATTCAGCTTGTCCTGTCTGTAAGGAATCTCCTTTGACCCAACTCCTGTGTAAAGTTTATGCAAGCACTACTGAACTTTGAAGAGAAAAGGAGCAAGGGCTGGTGACATGCAGCTTACTTTGCTGTACAGTACTATTTATTGTTCATGGATGTTGTTGGAACCAGGATTAAAAAATAACACCTTTGTAAAAAGCAACCTCAGGCAGATGCAATAGGAGTAGGAAGAGAAGATGTCTCAGGCTGGTCTGAGCTGTGTTTTTGCCTTCTGGTCCATATATTGCTAATTATAGTTAAACCAGTGTTGATATCTGAATCTCTTTGAGCTCTATCTGGCCATTTTTATGGTAGCAAGAAGTGAAAATGCCTTCATCTCCAGTAGACTACAGAATTATAACTTTCCTCCTTTGAGGGGTAGGTGGTTCTGGGGCCCTGGGGTTGCTTTCTGTCCAGTCTACAGGAGGCATTGCAGGGTGAAACTACCAGAGCAGCTGCTGTTAACACCATTAACTATTTGTCGTCTTAATTCCAGTAGCAAATGGTGTGATGGTTCACATTCTGCTGTGAAATAGTACAATGGAATATGTGTAGTTACCAAAATAGTGGTTCTTTCCTTCAAGGAGCAATAGGGCTGAGATATTAGGGTGACAGCTCTTGCTTCTTGTGGTGCCTGTGATGGGAGAGCAAGTGATGGACCACAACTTTATGGATTATTTAGAGCCCTTGATGGTGGAATTTTTCTACTTGTTTTGAAAGTGAGAGCTTTAAAGCATTTTCACCAATATCTGTGATGTATTGGTAACTTTGATAGGCTTTTGGAATATATGTCTGATTTTTTTATTCTCCATATGGAAGTGATTTCTGCCAGTTTCCTACTGGGAAGTGGTTGAGCTGTGAACAGCAAATTTTTGCTACACCTGTAGAAGAGGGACATGGCCTGTTTTTCATTAAACCATACATCTAATAGTAGAAGCAGTAGTGTACACTTATGTCAAGTAAAGTATTTTAAAAGGTTGGGGGTTTTATTCGGTCAGAAACTTTGGAAAAATCTAGATAACTTCAATCATCTGCTTTTGGAAGTGATTCTGGCCTGTACCTTTGTGAAATGGCAGATTTAATAGAGGTTGTAGCTACATAATTCGTCTGGCCTTCATGGCTCACCTATTAAGAAATAGGCTAATGGAAGAGGTGCGGGTAAGGCTTCCTAACAGCTGTGCTGAGAGGCACATTTTCCTCTGAAGCAGGGGTTTGTGAAGCACTGCCTTTGAAATATTGAGCTTTCCTCTTTAATTGCTCAAAATGTAGCTTAAAATGCACTCTGATTATAACCTGGGTGAATGGGGAGAAAAGTGGCTGGGACTGACTCATCTTGCAGACCAAGAGGAGGATGGTCTGTGCTGAAAGAATGGCTTGGCTCTGGCTGGATTTGCAAGGGCTCCCCTTGAGGGAAACAAGCTTACAGGGAGACAAGAATACTGAAATACTGTAGCTTAGGTTGTCTGCTGCTGCAGGTAGGTGCTATTTCTGTTAAATCACCTCTGCTTTAGGCTGTGCACAAGGCTTAAAGCAGTGTCAGGGTCACTGGATGGTCATATCAAGCTCTCTGGAGAGGGCAGAGGGAGAGAGAGCTCCGAGTGAGGGTGGCTTTCCATATTGTATTCTTTGTTTTTTTTTAGCAGCCACTGATTCCTCTGTGGGGCTGACCCTCCACTCCATGGGGGCTTGCTGAAGTGCCTGGGTGTGACAAGGGGGATGTTTTCGGACTGTGCCCTAACAGGAGTGGTGAAAACCAGGAAGGAATCACCCTTTTTCTCTCCTTCTAATCTTCTGTGTTCACATGCACTTTCTTTCCAGGCTGCAGAATGAGCTGCTCTATAGCCAGTAAAGAGACTCTCCCATTGCTGCAGTCTGTATGTAACATACATGTACATATAGTCCAGTAGGTGAACCCTAAACTGGAGGGCACAGTGTTGGCATCAGTTCTTTTGGCAGCATAGATGTTCTCAAGGAAATTGTTCTCAGAAATATTTAAGGAATGAGAATTATTTGGAGGGACTCCCTGAATCTTATTTCTTGACCCAGCATTCTCTGTCTTACTTGAGTTGTAAATTTTACTGATCATTCAGTTTTGGTTAATTGCAGCAGCAGCCAAAATCTGTATGTTTTACTCTGATATCATCTACTGAGCTGCTTTTTTTTTTCTTTTTTAAGTTTGAAAGTGGTTATATCTGGGGTTTACAGAATTTATGTAACTATGGGATGAAAATAAGAAAGACCGAAGTACCTAAAATGAAAGAACAATATTGAAATACTGCTGTCAACTTCAGTGAAGATTTTGCTCACATAGTGACAGGACAAGGGGAATGGCTTGAACCTGCCAGAGGGGAGCTCTTAGGCAGAAGCTCTTCCCTGTGAGGGTGCTGAGGCGCTGGCACAGGGTGCCCAGAGAAGCTGTGGCTGCCCCATCCCTGGCAGTGCTCAAGGCCAGGTTGGACACAGGGGCTTGGAGCAAGCTGCTCCAGTGGAAGGGGTCCCTGCCCGTGGCAGGGGTTGGAGCTGGGTGAGCTTTAAGGTCCCTTCCAACGCAAACCAGTTCTGGGATTCTATCATTCTATGAAATGGGGGCCTGAGTGCTTCAGTGTATGCTACAGTCTGAAAATTGATAATCTCTTGGGCAGTTTGATTGTTTGAATTTGTAGTGCCCTTCAGATGATCAAACCCAGAAGGTGAATAATGATCAGCAGAAGCCTGAGAATTAAGTACTATATAGCTCCAATGATGAAAGAAGGATCTGTATTGATATTCAATTGATATTCTAAGCAGCCTAAGCAATGTTTTTTTTTTTCCCTTAAATGATATTCTGATTTTGTTCTTCCTTTATGCTTATAAAGCTGGATCAAGTGAATCCTATTAAAATAATAGACTGATAATTACCAGCTCTCATTTAATTTTCTGTATATTTTTCAGATCAGCTCTCCAAAACAAGATGTATTGGCAAATAAATCTGACCCTGCTTGTGCTATTGGGTAAGTTACTAAAACACGTTAATTCTGTTGCAAGTTATGTAGAATGAAGAGTAATCACCATTTCTGTTTTACAGTGGTGTTACAAGTCACGCTACTGGGTTAGTATCTTATCACAGCATGCAACTGGAATATGCTAAGGATTTCATGTTATCATTGTGTGGAATTGAAATGTTGACACCCTCAGCTTGTACCTATGTGTCTTATCCCCAAAAGCGGTGCAACTTTCTTTTAAGATCAGGAAGCATCAGTAGAAAGTGTGTGTTGAGTCAAAATGCATTCAAATAAGTGCCCCAGTGAAAATTGCGTAAGACAGAAGTTCATAGGGAATTTGTTTTCGTTTGATAGGTCCAAAACCAGAAAGGAAAATTCCAGTTCCATCAGAACTGCAGAGTTTCTGTTTAGTTCAGTGTAGCCAGGCTGTCAGTGAGTTGGAGCTCTGCTTTTTCAGGTAGCTGACATTCTAGCTTTCAAGTGCACACTGTTGCTGAAGGGTGCTCAGCTAACTGCAAATGTTGGATGTAATAACGTCTGTAACAATATTGGTGAATGCTGCCCAGGGACTGCTGCCCAGGGACAGCTGGTTTTTGCCTTTTTTAACTAAAATAGGAACTATTTAAAGGCTTTTGGTGATGATGCTTAGGGAGAGAGTAGATGCTGTAATCCAGTGAAGTCAGATTCAAAATTTGTGTCTCAGGGAGTCTTCATGAGTCTTCAGAGCAGTTGGTTGCTCACTGATAGCCTGTAAGAACTGCAAGTCAGTGTATCTACTGACTACCCATCTTCACCTAATTCTGAATAAGCAGCCATGGCTGGCATCTTTGTAGCCCTGTTAACCCAGACATGCAAATACACTGCTGCTCTGGGGACAGAACTGTTAAGTGACAGTTTCTCTGTGTCTGTGTCATGGACAAGCCGTTACATCTGTAGCTGGAAAACATCCTAATTCATGCTGTGGTTTTTTAATGGGCATTGAAGAGCTATAGCAGAGCTGTATTAAACCCTCTTGCAATGCATTTTAGTTCTCTTTTTTACATTTCTGCACACACTTTGATTTTATAGGGTTTAGTTAATGCCTTGGGATTGTTTGGTGTGATCTGTGAGGGGGAAGTGGTTTTGTAGGAAAAGAGATGATGGGCAGGAATCCCTTCCCAGCCTCAATGGATGCTGCGGACTGGGTAGTACATTACTTATCTGTCCTGCTTCACAGGCAGTCAGGTCACTTACTCATTTGTCCTTTTTAAAATCATGTATTATGGACTAATAGTGTGTTTGGTCAGCTGAATCCTCCACATGCAGCCAGAAGGCTCAATGAAACTGGGATTTACAAAGGCACAAAGCCTGTTAGATGAGAGAGGAAGAAGGAGCAGAACTTCAGGAGTCTGGAATACAAGGAAACAACACTTTAGCACTCTGCATAGTAACACAATGTCTGCTTTTAAAGTATTTCATTCTGTGGTTTTATATCTTTTAGCTCATGCTTATATGCTGTTAAACAGTGCTAGAGAAATTTTCTTTTTTGCCTATTTAAGGCATAGAGCATCAATTAATTTCTATCTGATGAACTGCTTAAAATATTTCTGCCCTTACCGAGTGAAAAACTGTATGCAAAATGCACAAATACCCACATACCTTTCTGTAACTAGAGCTTTACTCTTTGAAATTCACACAGTGTTTTACAGAAGCCATTTCCAAACCCAACTTCTCATCATTCTGAAAATCAGTGTTAGTGTAATTCAAGCTATGACTGACCAACAGGAGCTACAAATGTGGTCAGAGCAGTTTTATTTTGGAGAATGCAAGTCTGATGGAGAAGATTAGTCTTTTCCTACGTCTCATTTCCCACATAATGCCCTGGGGTTGTGTCATTATATCCACTGGATATTCTTGTAACTCTATTCTTTGGTATTTAACAGTTGTAATGTGATTATGTGTTATATTTACAATGGAATGATTTTTTCTACAGTAACAGAGCTGTGTTATAAGAGCTGGATTAAAAATGTCCCAGCACTGCAGGGGGAGATGAGACCTCTGTGAGCCTAGGTTTATGGTTCACTGTAGTTTGAATTAATATAAGCCAATTTATCCCAAAGAGATGCTTCCCCTACAGTCTTGGTTTATCTTTCAAGAGGTTGAGAAAACAAGAAGCTAGGTGTAGTGACTGGGGAAAAGGCTGACATCTGTTAGTTGTGACACCAGTTCAGAGGGGATGATTTTAGTCATTTTGTCTGCAGTCAGAGAATAGCCCCTGGGAACAGTCTGATTTTTGTGTAATGAATGTATTTCTGTATAACACCAGCCACTCGCTTTTCATCTTCAAGTAATATGAACTTTTAATTTCTCATATCTTTGCCTTTGTACCTGCAGACTTTCTTCAGATGGCAGTTGCCCACTGTATGCTCCATCAAATTCCTCCTAGGAACTTTACATTACCCTGCATGCTGCTAAATGAAACAGTTTTGAGTCCTTTCTCTGTCGGAGTTGTAGAGAGCTGGTCTGGTTTGAGGAGAGGGCATGGAGCATCGAAAACCGAACCTCCCTTGCTAATGGATGAAGAAAGTTTTCTGTGCTGCCTTTGGAATGATAGCAACATTGATTGTTCTTTGTACAGAGCAAGCATGCAAGCAAGAAAGCTTATTCCTTCAGAAATAAGTAGCTCTGCTTCTCAGGAAAAAGGTTGGTTTCCCGGTCAAGGGAATAAGAAGTTACTTCTTCAAAAAGAGGTTGAGGTTTTGTGTTGGTTGGGAGGGGATGTATGTGGGTTGTATTGATGGGTATTCAGAGCAGACAACATAGTCTGGTCAAACCCGTCCTCGCAGTATTCTGTACTGGAAGATGAAGGAAATCGCGTAGCACAGTTTCAAAGGGTAAAAAAAGTTGGCTGCCTTTCTAAAGGGAATGCTGAATAAAATATGTGGCAGTGCACAAGCCCAGATCTTCAAAGGTGTTAGATGCTATGAGAAATATTTTAAGTATTTTTTGTGAACTTGGGCTTTAAACTCCCTCAGAAGGTGGGGGAGATGAAGAGCAAGTGCCATCATTTCTGCCTGGACTGTGATTGTGCCTCAGTAAATATCAGTACATGGCTTAGGTCAAATTAGTTTTCCCTAGGCTGGTTTTCTCCTATAAACCACATTCTCTGAGGAGCGTGTAGCCTCTTGGCATACTGCTATCAGTGGCAGTAGTCTCACTGACATCAGTAGAGTTAGAATTTCATTCTACGAGAACCATCCCATGGAACAAATAAATCCCTGTTACAGGCTGCCACACTAAATGTGTTGATGTTTTTTGTGCAGTACAGATGCATCTATGCACAAAGTGTGGCCATGTAGAGGCTGTACCAGTTAACAGTAGCAAAACCCTCAACCAGCAGCAGCAACAACTTCATTTCTTTCCTCCCCTTGTGGCCTGGTCTGTAAAGCCAGGTAAAACATATTGCTTCTCTAACAATTAGAATGCAGCAGTATCAGCCCTTAAAGTGTTTGAGGGCACACACTGGTGCCTGGTTCAGCAAGGATTATTCATAAACATTTGCACACTTGTGGTCCACCATCACCTTCCTGAATATCTGTTACTTGTCTTCTCTTTGGGAGTGGATTTTACCCTGGCTCTTCAGCTGGGATTTGGGTTTGTTTTGTTTTAATATAGTTCATAAATGTTTAATCTCTTTCTTTTGCTCAGATTCAAATTGGACCATTGAATGTTGGACTAAAGGCAAGCTGGACCTGCTGGTTTGTACTCTGAAGTTTTTGAAGTTGTACTTGAGAGCTGACCTGAAGGTTAATCTTTTCTATACTGTGTAAGTACAGACTCTGTTATATTTGTCACTCTTAGCATTAGAAATCCAAATTGCAGTGTGGTGTTGCATTAGCTTTGCAAGCAGATGATACATTATGAACCTCTGTCTTATCTAAAAGTAATCTTGGACAATATGGAAATGGTTTCTGTCTTTAAATGATAAATGGTTGCAGTGGAGAGTCCCCCTCCTCTGTCCTTTCTTAAAATGCTTTAATGAAATCAGTATTGACTTGAGAATATCTTTGCTGTTACAATAGCTTAATTTAAAACTGTGCTCTTGGTTCTGCCTTCTTTTACGCTTTTGACCATAATGTTCTCTCTCTTGAAGTAATTACACTATTTAATATTAATACAATGCCAAATGCTACTCTAATCATGTTGATGCCTCTGAGGGGCACCCACCTGTGCAGTTGTCACTTTGGTAAATACCTTCTGGGATGGCAATAGATGGTTATCATCCTGGCTGGTGGATGGGCAGATGTTGTACATGACCTGCCTGAATTGATCACAAAAAGATCCATTTGATTCTACTTATGAAGCCGCACAGATTGTTCTGAATTACTGATAGACTGGAAGGAATGGGGTGAACACACAGACTTAGGAAACAGGTTAAACATCAATAGGTGAATTAGCTGAATTTACAGGTGATTACTTCTACATTAAAAGCCAGATATCACATAAATTGCCCCTGGAGTCAGGGTAGAAATAGGTATATTAACTAGTAATAACTGTAGGTGTTTAGTTGATATAATACTTCAAAGCTGAAATCAGATCTTGAGTGGGTCCCTGTTTCCACTGTTCCCCATTACTTTGATTTCTGATTCTGGGTGTTTGTGGGAGAAGTAGATCTGACTTTGCCTTTGTTCCATCCAGTCTCGACTGCGATAGAAAGATCTTTGCCACTAATCCTAGCGTGGTAATCTCTCTATTGAATTTTTCTGGTATGCCTAACATCCATGGAACAAGGGATTTGAGTCCAAGCTGGGATGAACAGGCTCTTTGTATGAGGAAGGGCATTCAGTAAGTGTCATGCAATTTGTGAGAGCAGCCCCTATAGACTCACCAGAGACTTTGTGGCATTTCTGTCTTTGATTACTTTGTGCTGCAGAGCTGAGGTGCAGCGCAAGCCCTCACATGGGAGAACTTACTTCACTTCCCAGATTTCATATTCATATTTCTCTTTTCAGGTCCCTGTCTTCTGGGGGATCAGCTAGCAAAGCAGTTGAGGTTTTGGTGAGGTGACAGCTTTCCCTGTTGTCTTGCTGATACCTTGACATTTTAGTCACTCAGCCAAAATACCTTGAAAACATTCCCAGTTTTAAAAATATGCATTCCTGGCATGTGTTTCTCCCTGGGAGTCTGGAGATGAAGCCAGAATTCTCACATACAGGACAGGCAATGCACAAAATAATGACCTAGAAGAATCTACAAAAAAACAAAAGCTCAAGTCCTCAGCAGTTTTTAATTTTTTTCAGCAATAAAGTAACATCGTTTTATTTTACACATCCTGCTTCTAAATAATACCAAGTTACTTTGAATAAGAAATGTTTTCATCTGTCCAAAGCAGAGCTATCACAGTATATTCTATAAGAGGTAATGACAGGGCTTTTACCTTCCCTAGCAGCATGTCTTTGGGAGGAGGATTATTCTGCAGCTTAAGTAGACAAATGAGGCTGGTTTTTCCATCAGAAGTGAATGTGCTTTCCAGTTGTATGTATTCTAGGAATGCTGTAAACCTTGATGGTTAATTACATCAACTAAAATCACTTTGCCTTAGGGATCCTTTTGTAGTGACACAGATGAATGCTTCCAGTTTAATTTTGAGACTGATTATAATTTGCCCTTTCAGCAGATGGTGATGTATATGATGAACTGATATCTCAGACCTAGTTGAAGTACCTTTGAGGCTTTCCTTTAGTTCTCTGCCTAAGCTCCCATGTTTTTAAGGGGAAATCATGCAATTTGCCTGAAGGCTGATGGCTTAGTTGAGTGCATCAGTTACACACTGGCCCTTCTTCAGCTGGAGAACATTAACATTAGAGACTTACCCTTTCAGCAGCCAGGCAGCCATCAGGTGTCCTGCAGTTTAATGGGACAGCTTGTTCAAATCAGTCTTGTCCTAGAGCTATTGTCTATCAAATACATTGAGATACCTTATTGAATATCCTTAGAGCCCCAGACAGCTTTGTTCCATCAATTCCTAATAAAGAAATTGCACAATAAAGGTCTTGCAATTCCTTTATTTCTGATATGTCTCGGTATAGCTGCCTAAAAGCGATGTTCTGCCTTTCCTGAAATCAGAGGAATTATACAAGTTCACGTGTTTCTTCCTAAAACAATTCGGACCTTTTGTTTCTAGTGTTCCAATTGCAAGAAACTGATTGAAATTCAGCAAAGACATTCTGCAGGGTCATATTTAAACAAGTTTGCCACAGGTTAATTCAGCATCAGTACCACCACCTTCTGAAGTGTGGTTGAACTGTGCACCAAAATAAAAACCACCTAGGAGGTGTTAAGGTGTTGACTGAGAGAATTCTCTGTGCAGTGTTTGGAGTGGAGAAGAAAAGCAAGCCTTGGACTCATGCCCTTGTTGCAATGTTAATGACTTCTGGGGTTCAGGGCATGCGGTAGTTACTTATTTTTGTCCTCTTCTGCAGTGTCTTATGCTTTAGTCCCATGTTTCCAGCTTAAAGTCGCATTGTCTTTGCTCACTGTCCCTCCCTTCTCTGCCAGCCATTAAAACTTAAGTCCAGTTTACTAGTTTGCTGCCAGATCTCAGAGGTGGGCTCTGGTAATCCCTTCTCAGAAGTCCATATGCTTAGTTCCTATCTCGTTCATGCTCACCTCTCTGTGCCAGGACAAATCCCCCCAGTTCCACCAGCCAGCACTATAAAACTGAGTGAGGACATAGCATACACTTACATATTTTATGTGCCCTCTGTCTTTCCTTCCCCCACAATTTGGGTCTGGCTTAGATGTGATCAGTGCTGCATGATGTAAAGTGCTTGTTGAACTGGCATTTATAGCTCCTCTAAGTCAGTGTGCTGCAAGTGTGATGGAAAACTCCAGGTTTTAATGGTCTATTGCTTTATTTTAGGTTTACCCCAGATATTTCCTCTCATTCTGCTGAATGAAGGCACTGACCTCTTCTGAACATGTGAGGGCTTTATAAGCATAAGCTCCTCTAAAGTCAGTATGTACAGATTAGGAAGGATGGTTATGCTGTGACAGGATCCCTCTGCAGCCAAACTGAAGATGATGGGCTGCTCATGCAGTCCCAGGCTACTGTTGATCTCCAAAGCACTTTGGCTTTCTGTTGTTTTGCTTGTGATCAGGTCTCATGCATTTAGGCCAGGCTTAGCAAGTTGGAATAAGTTGATGCGGGGTCCTCGTGGTTATATCCTGCATTGATCTGTTGAGATGGTCCCTGTGTCTTGCCAGTCCATGGGAATGCAAAGCTCATTACCCTGCTTATGTATCTGGATATCCTCCTCCAGCAGCAGACCTGGCATCTGGTAACATAGCTTGGTTTTTCCCCTGTCTGTGCCCTGGCTGCCTGCAAAGGTAGTGAGCTGGAAAAGAAGTCTAGAGCAGAGAAATGAGATACTGGTAATTCTCTGTCACACAGGAGTGGAAGACCTGCCTGGCCTGGAGCCGTGGCTGTTCCTCCAGTTACACTTGAATCCCTACACACAGCATTTTATACAATAAAGCAATGAAATGGGCTTCCCCATCCATGGCAGTGTTCAAGACCAGGTTGGATGGGGCTTGGAGCAACCTGCTCTAGTGAAAGGTGTCCCTGCCCATGGAACTAAATGGTCTAGGATTCTATGAAAAGGTTTGTGTGGTGGGAACAGGGAGAAATAACATCCCATGCCTGTTTACTCACAAATAAGTGGCCTTTTAAACATAATGGCACAACATAATATGGGGAGGATCTTCCTAGCACTCCCCCCTCTATGCACTGGGACTCATCTGGGTGCAGATAAGCTCAGTTTGACGGTTAAAAGTTGAAGTAACAATTAGGAGAAAGCTGGGGGCAGTGATGGGGTGGTAACTGCTTTCCAGATAGATCGGATTAAAGACATGGTTTGATGAGAAGCCTACATTCTTACGGATTGATTGTGGGTTTTTTGAGACTAATAACATCTGCGATCAGCAGTACAAGGCAGGGAAACTTAAAAGACAATTCTGCGAAGTCTTTGAAAGGAAATTCAGAGAAAGAAGTGGAGCCACAACTAGAAAACCAAAAATATTCCAAGTAATTTAAAAGCTCTGTGTTTGCCAGATACCATCGGTATAAGGTTCCATAATTCTCCTGTCCTAAATTCTGTGGGTCCTGGTAAGAAGAAACAGCTTCAAAGAGCATCCTAAATGCAAGGTGGATGCATAATGTGTGTGTGTGGGCATCAGTGAATGATGAGGGGAGTTGGCCTTGGTGCCAGGGGATTCATGTGTGCTCGTTGCAGGTTCCCTTTCAGTCACAGTCAGTGTGATTCACACAGGCTCTTCTCCACAATTCATCAGCCCTTTGCTCACTTCCAACACTTCCTCAGGTTCTAACCTTTTCTTTTTTAAGTAGGGCAGTTGATGGCATTGGGATCAGTGAATCATTCCCATTTCCCTTGTGCTATACAGTCCATTGAATGTACTATACGCCAAATCCACTAAAGGAAAGCAGAAAATCTTGTTCCTTTGTTCTTTTCCAGTGTAAAGTTCTCTGCCCTCCCTGAATTCAAGTGTTACAGTGAGTCACACCAACTCTAAAACTATGTAACACTTTCACAGAAAGGTTCTTATTCCATTCACTTCAATTGCTTTCTCTGAATAAGTAATACAAACCCTTTACTATACAGAAACAAATCCAGAATCACTTCAGAACAATTTAAAGCACAAGATTTTTGTTATAAGGTTGAAATGTCAAAATCAGGAAAGAATCTGGGATGGTTTAACTCTCAGGATTTGTCTTGGCTTTGCTGCTGTGAGAAGTTTGGCCAAAGTATTTATGCTATTAAATTCCCTACCTTAAGGAGGCCTGTGTCACTGAATACCTGCAGTGCACCATAAACATGCTTCTGAGTTTGAAAGAGCCTAAAGAATACCTGTGAGAGAGAAATGAGAATAAAAGCTTTATCTTGGAATTAACTGCACAATGTTAAGACTTTTGGAAGACTCTGATGTCTTTCTGTTTCAAGTACTGTAAGTTGTTGAAAATGAGAATTAAAACTTGCTCTGAATGGTGGAATTCTTTAGCCTTTTACTTCAAAACTTGTTTTTCGCTTGAAAAATGGTTGCTTATTCTATTACTTGTAATGCTTTGTTGTAGCAGAAGCTGGAAGTGATGTTAAATTGTTTAGATTTCATTTCAGTGCCTCATGAATAGGAATTGGAACATGATCTCTGTGAGGGTGGTGGTGGGCTGGTAGTCTACTGTAAGGTAAACTAACTTTGGGTGCCTGAGTAATTACCAACAGGAATCAGCAACTAGTCTGACTGAACTACAGGTATCATCTAGGATTTTAACACATCTGTTTTAAAGTAAAATCTTAGGAATACTTTTCATGAAGGCATCTTACCAACTTGGAAACCATTTCAAAAAGGAGAAGCAGCGAAGTAAAAGGAATTGGGTGCAATTATTCACTTTTTTAAGTTTTTCATTATTTTCCTTGTTTATCAATAAGCCTTATCCAGATGGACAAACTCTGTTGAGATGCTGGTTTGGTTTATGGTTTGCTTCTTCCCTTGCAGGTCAGAGCTGTCCCTGGGGGATGTATCTACGAGCTTTCTGAAGGGGACTGTCATGGCTGCTCAGTGTGACTGCAGTGAGTATGAGAGGTGTGAGTGCTGTGTGCCTGCCCTGAGACTCAACTACACTTACATCATGTGGCTGAAGATGATGGTTGGTGTTACAGCTCTGTGGTCACCTTTGATGTTGGTCAAGCCCATAGACATAGGTAAGTACAACTATATTTAAAATGGTTTTGAATGGAGGACAGCAGCAGGATGTCTCTTTTGGAGAAGCAGGGCACAGACAGAACAGGAACAGGCCTCCTGGTGCCGTCTCATTTGCTCAGGGTGGTGCAGTACACATTTCCTAGCCTCCTAATGCCTCTCTGGGCTCTGGTACAAAACTAAACTGAGCAAAGGCCATGCTGTCAACATGCTCCAGCTTTCAGTTTTAATTCAGACCTCTCTGTGCCTGAGTCTGGGGCAATGGTGGAGCTTATCTGTGTTGTGAGGACTTAAATGAGAAAGGGGGGGGAACTGTTCCTAAAGTGACTTAGCAAATAAAACTCCCTCTTCTCTCAGGCAGCAATGTTGTCCCGATGCTTTCTTCCTTACATGTTACCAATACCAGTGTTTTCTAACTATTTCCAACTACATTCCTCTGTATTTAATCAAGTTAAATCTCTACTGATATTATGACTTTCATATGTGTTGCTATTCAATATGCACAGTTATTGCAAAAAGGTGGGGAATGGTCAGCTGGGAGGGGGGAAATAATAGGAGTTATATAAAATTCTTCCTAAAGGATGTGCTTTGCAAACAGAATAAGTTAAGATAACATAATTAGTTTGTGCCACTTAGTAAAGTGTATTTAGAGCTTGCATAATATTATATGTTATATAATCAAACATGGAGCTGTGAATGAGGACAGGGTGAGCCAAAGGACACTGTACTTAAACAGTGATTTGAAAAGGTCTCAGCAACAGGTAAAACCAGGATCAAGGCTCCCTGCCTTTGTCTGAAGAGGAGTGAATGTAATCCTGATGATCATTGTAAATTGCCTATCCATTTGCCTCTCCAGAGTGTTCTGTTCATCCTGCTGGGAAATTTCTGAAACCCTCCTTTTTTACTTTGCCCTGATGTAGCTCTCCTGGAGACCTTCTTTCATAGCCATAATCACTGTGGAAGGCATGGGAATATCTAGCAATTCTTTGTGTACAATATGAGGACATTATCTCCTGTCTCTTCAGGAGCTGAGCAAATTGCTTTGCTCAGCACTCCCATCCCTCTCAGTCCTCTTTGCAGCAAAACAGGTACATTAATGTTTGGTTACTGGGAAGAATCATGGCCTAAGGCAAGAAATGAATGCAGTTTTAAGGCAAACATTGGGTCAAAGAGCATGTCCTGCTAACTGTAACAGTGCCAGGGTGCACTTTTCCACTGATACTACACATTAGTGTGTCATACACCAGCTCTTGGAAACTGAGTTCAGAGAAGTGGCATGGAAAAGACCCATTGCCATCAGCAGTCACAGGCAATCAGGTTAGTGGTAAACTTGTCAATTAATTTGTCTGCAGTCAAGCCTGAACCTCCTTTGAACCTGCATCTAGAAATGACAGAGAAAGGTCAAATGAAGATCTGCTGGTCCGACCCTGTGTTGATGCCATACCCACTTCAGTATGAAGTGAAGATCTCTGCAAACTCAGGTCAAAACAGCTGGCAGGTGAGTCAGCTCTGCTCATGTATTTTACAGTGCAGGTTGGTGGGTTTCTGTGGATCCCAGGATTTCTTAGCACCCTCCTTGTCCTTGGGCAGTGGATCTGGTGGGTTGAGAACTCTCCTTAGGCAGTGGCTGGCCTGGTAGAGCTGGGCATGGCACACTGAGCTGGTGTGTCCAGCAGACCCTGGTAAACAGCAGTGTGCTGGTGAGCTGGACTTGACATCTGCTACACCAGCAGAGACACTACACTGATACAAGACCCATCTCATTTTGGGTCTTACACACAAACTCCCGTCTTTCTTTTTGGATGAAATACTAGACTCTGTGAAGTCTAAAACCAAAGGTCTCTCCTTTCAGCAACCCCCAAATTCCATGATATGTTTAATATTTATAGCTTTTATTAGTGAATTGCTTTTTCCTGTTGCTACCACACAACTGTCTCTGCAATAAAAAGGAGCTGTTATTTAGGAGTTCATAATGAAATAACATGTTTTCCACAGAATCATGCAATCTCTACCATATTTGGATTTACATAGATTTAAAGAAGAAACCTTTTTTTACTGAACTTGATACCTAAAACCTACTCTCTAAACTCTTTGTTTTGGTTCCCTCTGTCTTTCTTCATCCTGTTTCATTATACAACCATGATGGCTTCTGATAATCTCACAGATGGTTCAAGTTGCTCTGGAAACCTCACTGGCCATAGACAATACACTGCTTGGATCTTCATACTTAGTTCAAGTGCGGTGCAGGAATCATCATGGTCCAGGGTTCTGGAGTGAGTGGAGCACACCATACAACCTCAGCTTGGGAGGTAGGTCTCATGCGGTCACTTATGTGCAGTGTTTTGGAATAGAATACACTTCCCAGTTTGGTTTGGTTTGTGGCATGAGTATTTGAGAACATGTGTTATACCAGGAAGGTACAGCAGGCATGAGCTGAGCTGAAAAATCCCATGGGAGTTCTTTCCCTTTCTGCTTCTGTCTCCCCACGGGCAGGGACCCCTTCCACTGGAGCAGCTTGCTCCAAGCCCCTGTGTCCAACCTGGCCTTGAGCACTGCCAGGGATGGGGCAGCCACAGCTTCTCTGGGCACCCTGTGCCAGCGCCTCAGCACCCTCACAGGGAAGAGCTTCTGCCTAAGAGCTCAGCTCAGTCTCCCCTCGGGCAGGTTCAAGCCATTCCCCTTGGCCTGGCCCTACAGGCCCTTATCCAAAGGCCCAGCTTTCTTGCAGCCCCTTTAGACACTGGGAGCTACTCTTAGGTCTCTCCAAACCTTCTGCAAGCTGCACGAGCCCACACTTGAGCTACAGCTAATGCTTCAGCTAACATGATTTCAACACCCTGCAGGGTTCAAAGTGTCAGATGATTATTCCCCCCCACCCCTCCAAACCCAAACATCTTATTGGGATCCTCTCAATTTTACGATTTTATGTGTTGTCTGTCTTTTTGAGATGAGTTATGGAAGCAAACCCTTTCTAGCTTGCAAGTACTACTTGCAGCATTTAAATAAGCTGACCTGGTGCCTTAGGTTGACTGAGTGGAAAGCAGCAGTGTTAATCTTGTTTCCTGAGATTTAATTTACAGCAGCCTCTATGATTCCCTGTTTCCCTTGTGCTGCTCTGTTTTGCTTTCACTGGAGCCTCCAGTGATATCTGCTCATTTAATTAGGTTTGCCTGGGGGTATTTAGCAGAATTTACAAATGTCACTTATGGAGTGAGATGGTCAAAGGCTCATTCCTGCCCCTCTCCTGGTAATTAAGAAGTAGGAAATGTAGGAATACAGCTGGATAATGTTAATATTTTTGTATTGTATTTTCCCTATGGCTATTTTTGCATGGATTCTAATCTCAATTGATATTTTTTCCCCTTTTTTCCCCTTCTGTGTAGCTCAAGTCCTGTACTTCCCTCCTAAGCTACTGACCAGTGTTGGTTCTAACGTTTCCTTTTATTGCATCTACAAAAACACAACCAAGCTTGTAGCATCCAAGAAGATTGTCTGGTGGCTGAACTTAGTGGAAGAAATCCCACAAAGTCAGTATACGCTTGTGAATGACCGTGTAAGCAAAGTTACTCTTTTCAACTTGAAAGCAACAAAACCTAGAGGAAGTTTCTTCTATAACGCATTGTACTGTTGTCATCAAAATAGGGAATGTCATCATAGATACGCTGAATTATATGTAGTAGGTAAGATTCCAGATGATTTTAAATTGTCATTTCACTGCCTTTGAATCGTAGCATCTGAATATCTCAATTGTAAGCTCCAGTTAGATTTTATTGAGCAGTTGTAATAAATGTTTTTATACAAACACTTATATCTTCATTAATCTGAACTTTCCATGTGTTTTAATTAGATGTGAATATTAATATCACCTGTGAAACGGATGGGTACTTAACTAAAATGACTTGCAGATGGTCTGCAAACCCAAACACTGTGCTCCTGGGGAGTTCCTTGCAGTTAAGATACCACAGGTGTGTATATAGCTGTTAATGCACTCGTTATGTTTGGGAAGTGTTGCTCTGGAAATAATATCACAGCAAAGAATTCTGAATAGATGTAATTATAAAACGTCCTTAGTTCCTGTAAACTGGATTTTTTCCCTCCCGGAACTCCACAGGTATTAACTATTTGTATTGCCAACCATATGCTGGGCTGCACACCCAGAGCCTGAGCAACAGGTCACTGAGGGGATCCTGCCCCTCTGCTGTGCTCTGGGGAGACGCCCCCTGCAGCCCTGATCCAGCTCTGGGGCAGCAGCACAAGAGGGACGTGGAGCTGTTGGAGCGAGTGCAGAGGAGGCCATGGAGATGCTGCGAGGGCTGGAGCAGCTCTGCTCTGGAGCCAGGCTGAGAGAGCTGGGCTGGGGCAGCCTGGAGAAGAGAAGGCTCCTGAAGGGGAGACCTTAGAGCAGCTCCAGTGCCTAAAGGGGCTGCAGGAAAGCTGGAGAGGGGCTTGGGACAAGGGCCTGTAGGGACAGGCCAAGGGGAATGGCTTGAACCTGCCCGAGGGGAGACTGAGCTGAGCTCTTAGGCAGAAGCTCTTCCCTGTGAGGGTGCTGAGGCGCTGGCACAGGGTGCCCAGAGAAGCTGTGGCTGCCCCATCCCTGGCAGTGTTCAAGGCCAGGTTGGACACAGGGGCTTGGAGCAAGCTGCTCCAGTGGAAGGGGTCCCTGCCTGTGGCAGGATGTTGGGACTGGAAGAGCTTTTAATTCTCTTCCAACCCAAACTATTATTGGATTTTATGATATGTGTTTAGAACGGGGACCATAGATACCTGAGTGTGTAACATGCATTCTGTGAAAAATCTTCTTCCATTCAGGATGGAAAAAGTCTTACTTATATAGAGAGAATCAAATCTTAGTTCATAAAGGGAATACTGCTTTATGAAGGTAGGTAGTATTTTTGGTGGCCAGAGCAATTCTTAGTTTTCAGGTGTTTTTTCAGGTGTTTTCATGTAGGTGGTTTAATTTTGTCTGTCTGTGGAAGAGCAGGAGAACTGGGATGCAGAACAAACATTCCTGCTTGCAAAAGACAGACCTGATTATTAAACCAGTGCTGTGATCATCCTTATCTTCATTCATGTGCACAAATACTGCCTCTGATAGTGTTCTTTTACCATGAAACTGAAAACTCCCTCTGATACACTAATATACTGGAGTAATACATTGGAGTTTTCTAGAACTGCCTTAATCTTTATAGAAACAAGACAAACAGACACCCCTTCCTGAGAAAATGTCTAGTTTTACTGTTCTGCTGGACCTGATACGCAAAGTTTTGGCACACAAGCTTAAAGCAGCCCTGAGGGTCCAGTCCTTTGGGAAGCTGAACTGTCTTCTCTGTTGGAGTCATACTATTGTAGTACCAAGGTGAATATTTCTCAGGATTTTCTGGATTAAAGTAAGAACTGGGATGCTCGAGATTGCATGTGGAGGTTTTTAGGGCAGGATTAGTGACTAACTGGCTGCTAAGGTAGGTTTTGTTTAAACTGACTTCAAAAATATGAATGTAATGAGTGTGCAGCTGGGCAGGGAGCTTGAAATAAAACCCATGCTGCTCTTGCCAAGGTTTGTATTGCCACTTTTGACTTGTTCAGGTTTATTTAAAGATGTTCTTTCTAGTAGGAGGTGATACCTCGTGCATTTGTTACAGTAGATCAAACAGTGAACGTTAACACAGAGTGAAAACGTTGCCCAAAAGCTAGTATTTGTTGTGATCTTTCTTTGGGCTTTTGCTTGTTTGTTAATAGTAGGATCTGACAGAGGAAAAATAAAAACAAATAAATAATGGGGGACCCCATTCATGTAGTGATTTCCATACAGTTGAAGTATAAGACGTTTGAAAATGTACACTTATGAGGATACCAGTATTATAGAATTGTGGAATGATTTGGGCTGGAAGGGATCTTAAAGGTCATCCAGTTCCAACCCCTTGCCACGGGCAGGGACACCTTCCACTGGAGCAGCTTGCTCCAAGCCCCTGTGTCCAACCTGGCCTTGAGCAGTGCCAGGGATGTGTTCAGCTCCTACAGGCCCTTGTCCCAAGCCCCTCTCCAGGTTTCCTGCAGCCCCTTTAGGCACTGGAGCTGCTCTCAGGTCTCCCCTTCAGGAGCCTTCTCTTCTCCAGGCTGCCCCAGCCCAGCTCTCTCAGCCTGGCTCCAGAGCAGAGCTGCTCCAGCCCTCGCAGCATCTCCATGGCCTCCTCTGCACTCGCTCCAACAGCTCCACGTCCCTCTTGTGCTGCTGCCCCAGAGCTGGATCAGGGCTGCAGGGGGGGTCTCCCCAGAGCACAGCAGAGGGGCAGAATCACCACTGTTACTTGTATAAGATTCTGTTACATATTGGGAACAAAAATACAGAAAAAGAATATGAATTTTGAAACCAAATTAAATAGGGGTTTTAATTACCTGACTTATTTGTAAGAGACACCACAAGTATGCAGGAATTGCTGGTGTTTGCTTAGACACAGCAAGTCCTCATGGTAAAAGTTGAAAGTCAGATGTGTCACATCACCATCAGGCACATCTGGTTTTCCAGGAGCCCGCAGCTATTCTTCTTAGTGACTGATGCAATTATGTCCTGCAGATGAAAGCCAGTGTTCTGCAGTACATTGGTGTGATAGCTTTGCTCTTGGTGTCTTGTTTTGGTTGGGTTGTAACTATGTCTTCCTCTACAGCCAGTGCTGCCAACAGAAACAGTGCAGAGATGATCATCCTGTAAATCCAGGGAATGCTGAGCTCAATCTTCAAAGTACACAGCACCAGTTTAATCACTGTTAGCTGTGTGGACAGGAAGAGATTCAGCTCAGTGTAACTTCTGTGGTTCAGTTGGATAACTAATCCCTATCTGGCCACTCTCACCACAAATCTAAGCTGGCCATGAAGCTTAGGAAAAATTAGGAGGAATTTGAACACTTTCCATCAGTGATAAGGTGTCCGGTGCTATTTTACCCAGAGTCCAGCTCTCCTTTCTTCTGTTGCCAGATGAGATACAGCCTGTATATGAGATTTCTATAGCACCCTCCAGAACTGATATTTTGTTATGGGATTTCCATCTCCTGGAGACTTCACTGCCTGACTGATCCATGTGGCAGCTTTCCCCTGGATGCCCTTTGGTGTTTTGAAAGCCATATTCTCAGCTGGAGCAAATTCCTGGCTGGAGATCTGCCTTGCTCTGTGTATTGCTAATAAACACCACTCAAGGAACGTGATTTAGATGGAGGGGAGGTTGAGGTGAGCTCTTAGGCAGAAGCTCTTCCCTGTGAGGGTGCTGAGGCGCTGGCACAGGGTGCCCAGAGAAGCTGTGGCTGCCCCATCCCTGGCAGTGCTCAAGGCCAGGTTGGACACAGGGGCTTGGAGCAAGCTGCTCCAGTGGAAGGGGTCCCTGCCCATGGCAAGGGTTGCAACTGGGTGAGCTTTAAGCTCCCTTCCAACACAAACCAGTCTGGATTTCTATGATTCTTCAAAAAACAAGTTTTAAAGCTCAAAACTAGATTCATAATTAAAGGCATTCAGCTAAAATGTTTTACCTAAAGCAGCTAAATAACCATTCCTCCGCATTGCCTGAAACCAAAACACTGCAGGGGTTGGAACTGGGTGAACTTGTCATTGTCTTCCAAGCCAAACCAGTCTGGGATTCTATAGTTTATGAATATTTGGAGGTGCCTGCTCTTCTTGTACCTCTTTCTTCCTGTGGTTACTTTCTTATCAGAAGATTTCCACAGGGGAGAGCCTTCATATTTTGCTTTATTCCAGCTAAGAGCCAAAGCTTTGAGGAGTAACACTGCAATGTTATTTATCCATTTTGTGCAGATTCAAGCTCAAGATCTTTCCAAATAATCATCAGAAAACCCCAGATGGTTCCAGTGACACCATTTATTTTAATTGCCTTCAGAGTTCTATTTTACTGATGCCACGGGCAGCTTATAGTTGCAGTGTCTTGACTGAATGTGGTTTTTCTCTCTTTTAAGGAGCAGAATTTATTGTTCCGACTTTCCAAGTACATCTCCAGAATCAGAGGTGAAAGAATGTCATTTGCAGAAGAACCATTCTTACGAGTGCACATTTCAGCCTATTTTTCTTTTATCTGGATATACCATGTGGATAGAATTTAAGCACTTACTAGGAACACTTGAATCCTCACCAACTTGCGTCGTTCCAGCTGATGTGGGTAGGTCCAGATTCGTGCACGTCTTTCTTCACTTGTGACCTTGGATTTCATTCCTTATATGGTGTAGGTAAAGTACTTCTTCATAGCATTTTAACTCAATTAGATTGTGGAAAGAACATAAGAACATAAAAGCTTTGATATTGTCTTCTGAAAGACATTGGATTAAATGATATTTCCGTACCTTTGCTTGGCACAGGAGCAGATTGTAGCTGCAGCTAATACCCATAACATGAAACATCCAGTTTTGTGTGTTTATCCTATAGGGAGTTTTACAAAGAGAGGTATAGAAAATGCAAGGATTAGATTTAGGAACAAAGTCTCATTTTGAAGGTTCTTGGTTATGTTATGTTTCTGAAGTCTTTAAGTAGTTAAGTTTATATTTGATGCAGCACTATATGTGTTACTTACACAGTTACCTGTTCACTTACAGTCATAGGGACTGCTCATGCTCTTGCATGTATTTGCAAAGCTTCTTTTGTGACACAGAGCACTTAAATTTGTATAAAAGCAAGAGGCAGGGACAGTGTTTGAGTGTTTTGAAACACTGCAAAATGTGAAAACACTTATTATCTGCTCTGTGACTCAGAGCATTCATTGGACTCTTTTTTGGACACAAAATTGGACAATATGTACAGAGAAAACATGGCAGCTGGAGCACAGAAGTGCTACATGAAATAAAGCAGAATAATAAAACACATCTATTATGTATGTGGAGAGCAGCTGTAGTGTTAGTCTGGGGTGGGCACGGGTGTGCTCTCAGTTGGCTGTGCCCTTTTGGATGGAGGTGCTGGCTTTGGACAGTGCTGCACAGTGAGGAGCTGTAGCAGAACTTCAGGAGCCTGGTTTATTCAAGTCATCACTTGAAAGCAATAGAATTGACCTACACTGGATGAAAGGTGCTCAGATTCATTCTAGCAGTACCCAGAAATGAAAGCTTATCTTACTTGTTATTTTCTCCTCACTCACCATCTGATGAGCCAAAACAAGTTTTGCATATATTTTTATATGCATAAAATTATTTGCTGTTTGTACCAGGGGAGGTACAAGGTGCTGGCACCAATATAAGCTATTGGGGTTTGGATTAAAATGAAATGTATTGAAACTTGCCCATGGATGATTATTTTGTTATTAAATGAAATGCTTATTCTGTCAGAAACTTGGATTTTGAGACTTCAGCTTCACCTTTTCTTTGGCGATTTTACTTTGGGTCAAAATTGGAATGAATTTCCCATTAGACAAGCATTGTCTTTCTCAGTCAGCAGTGCTCTGTCTGCAGAGAATGGCCCAGCCAGCCTGGGTTGGTGAGTGGTTACATTTACATTCTAGTACAGCTTTACTTGGGGTGGCAGAAGCCACAATGTGATACCTGCCACCCTCGGGGCAGAAGAAAATAGCCCATGATGAGTGGATTTAATGAGGAATGTCCTTGCAGACCTTATAGCCTTTCTTTTTCTTTCCATTTTCTAGTGAAGCTGCTTCCTCCCTCCAATGTTAAAGCAGAGCTCACCAGGAATGTTGGGCTGCTGAATGTGAGCTGGACAAACCCTGTGTTTGCAAACAGTGATCTGAAATTTCAGATTCGGTATGCTGTGAACAGGGAGGAAATGATGTGGGAGGTACTGTCTCTTTTAATCTAGATCATGGGTTGATGCAGTGTTGTCACCGAGTGTGTTAACTGGGTTTAGGTGGAATTTGTGGCATGCAGTGAATCATGGCTATAATGGTTATGTTACAGATTAATTCACTTTTTCGTTGGATTCATTTTCAGGCATTCTGACTCTGACAGATGCTAAAACAGCCTTTTGTTCTTACTCAGCCTGTTTTGACTTCTGTTACAGCTTTATGAAGTTTCAAATGCACCCACAAGATCAGCTGTGATAGAAGTTCAAAACCTTTGTGTTGAGTATGTCGTTCAGGTCCGGTGCAGGGAGCTGGATGGCTCAGGCTACTGGAGTAACTGGAGCAGATCAGCCTATACCCTCGTAAAAGATATCAAAGGTACTTGTGCTTTCAGAGTGCATTCTTTGGGGCTGTGTAGCTTCAGACCAAAGAGTGACACTGTTCTTTCAAAACTGCAGCTCCCTTACAGGGCCCTGAATTTTGGAGGATTATTACTGAAGATCCAGCAAGGAGGCAGAAGAACGTTACACTCCTGTGGAAGGTGAGAACAATTCCCTTTTGGTCTTTCACTTAGATCCAAAACCCATGGGTAGAATTGCCAGAAAGGGAGTATGATGAGCACGTTTCCCTGGGAGGCAAAGCTGGGCAGTCACTGCTTATGGGGCTTCACTTGGGATGTGACCTCTTTTGAGCTATTGCCTCTTGCTTGGCTAATGCTGGAGGCAAGTGGAGGTTGCTGGTGAATATTGACTGTAAGACTGTGATACAGTGAGAGGTGGGTTTGTCTTCTTTGCTCAATCAGCGTGTCTTGGACTTTACTCCCTTCTGGTTTTATTCTTTTTATCCTCCCCTGCACCTTGCTGGCACATGTTGAGCTCATCTTGTACCCTAATCATTACCAAGTTCATAATAATGCAGTAGGACAAGAACTTTCCTAGTGCTGTGTGGTTGGTTGTGAGTTGGATGAGACATACACTGGCCGCAGGCATGTTCCACACTTGGGAAGCTCACAGGCCAACCTCCTGAACTGATGCTTGTAGAGTGGACCCATCTGAGGTCCAGTTACCTGCACCACAGCTGTGTTGATCTGTACATGGGGCTGCATCACAGCCATGGGGAGCATCCCGTTGTTCCTGATACCTTACAGTCCTCGCTACAGGAAGGCCCTCAGATCTCCAGGCAAGCTACAGGTTTCCTTACTTTTGTGTGGAGACCTGTACTTTCAGTGTTAGTTACACAAATGCTATGAAACAGAGACTTAAAATGCAATTTGCTCTTAACACTCAGAAGAAAGAGCAATGTGGAATCACAGACTGCAGTTTGGAATGAGGTGCAGTCTTTAGCTGCCAAGTTCTGCTGACTGAGATGCCTGAGCAGAATGTGCCACTGACTCCTAGGGAGCTGCCTGTACAAACACCACTGCAACTGCACGTAAACTGGGCACAGTGAACAGGTTAACACAGGACAGAGGAAAAAGCATATCCATGACTCCTCACTCCCATGTGTAGTGTGCAAACAGTCATCTGTTCTGTTTTCTCAGTCCTGGAAAAGACTTAACATGAAACAGTGAGTTACTAGAGGAGCCTGAAAGTTTGTATTTCCTTGCGCCCTCTTTTTCCCCCTGGAAAGACAGTAAGGAATTGTGTCAGCTCTTAGGAAGGGAGATAGAAGGAGTTAAGTCTTTAGATAGACTACAGAGCCTTTGCTAAAAGGACAGTAGGCAGCCTATAGAATATGGATAGTACTGGATCATGGTTTCTTAACATTGGAATGGTGCCTTCTGCCCAAATAACATTTGCTTTTGAAATCAAAGGCTGGGAGATTAATTCATGCCAATATTTGCTGCAGCCACTGATGAAGAGTCACTCCTTGTGCAGCGTGAGCCGATACGTTATACAGCATCAGACATCAGGAAACGCCACATGGTCAGAGTATGTTGACAATGGCACTACCTGTTCATTTCCATGGACTGAGCACACACACACCATTACTGTTCTGGCCATGAATTCAGTTGGAGTTTCTTCAGTTAATTTTAATTTAACTCTATCCCAGCAAATGAGCACAGGTAAGAAACACCTATTAGTGACCATTTTGAGATGTGGAAAATGCTGGGAATCGTTGTGATGCTTTTGGACAAAGCTTTCTTTACAATCAAATTCCCTTTCTTAGGATAAAAAATGTTCTCTGATGGTACATTCAGCCGTATATGGGAAACAGTTTCTGCATCTCACCAACAGAGCTAGTTGAAAAACGAGATTTCCATTGCATGAAAACCTTAACGACCTTTGGGTTGGGAAAAGAGTTGTCTGTTACTTTCCACTAGCAGAATCTAAAGTAATTAATCAAAGAATAAGAAATTCTTACTGTAGAACTGACCTTTCATCTACTTTGTCTTAGGAACACCTGACATTCCTGCTAGGGAATGTTTGGTTGTTTCCAAAATGATATATGGTCTTGTTTCTCCGGCTGCTCACCTGAGGGGCTGCCAGAGTACATAGTTTGAGAGGTTTGGCTTTACCTCCTAAACAGCCTCTCATTGATTCGGCTGCTTTATTGATTCACTCTGCTTTACTAATGAAATAAAGCCTGTTGCATTGAAATACTTCAATTGTGTAACATTCACGTGCAAATATATGCTGTGGGAAACATCACTGCAGCCTATTGGTAGAACTTTTCTGCTCTAATGCTATTTTTAAAGCATTATTATGGATAAATTCTTTCTGATATTGTGTGTAAATGTGCTCTGGAAACCCTGTGGCTGGTAGCAGATGTCATGGGAAGCCTTTGTCCAGCTGGATTGTTACCTTGGTGTATTGCTTAGACTCAGGATTTACCTTACAGGGCTCTCAGTGTGTTCTTTACTCTTTAAATGTTGACAGTTGATAGGGTTTTTTGTGAAGGAGTTATAGTTACGGAAGTGCCCATGAGAATCAGGATGTTTGTTTGATGTCTGGTAAGAAACTTGATCTGTTTAATGTTCAGGACTAGTTGGTGTGAACCAAGCTGTGCTGCCTTAAAGAGAAATATGCTTGCTTATGTGAACTAGAGACCTGGCTTTATTATATCGAAGACAATTAAACAATTAAATGATAAATGAGCAGGTTGCCCAGAGAAGCTGCGGCTGCCCCATCCCTGGCAGTGCTCAAGGCCAGGTTGGACACAGGGGCTTGGAGCAAGCTGCTCCAGTGGAAGGGGTCCCTGCCTGTGGCAGGGGTTGGAGCTGGATGAGCTTTAACCTCCCTTCAATCCAAACCAGTCTATGGTACTGTGTTCATGTGCTCAAACCATAGCAGTCACCCATATGCATGTAGTTTGCAGTAGACACCTCTCCTGCTTAACCCATCGTCGTCTCGCTTCTGCTCACATTACTCATGGCTGGTTTCTCTTTGCCCTGTCAGTGAGTGTTGTGCGGTCCCTCAGCGCTTACCCAGTGAACAGCACTTGTGTGATTCTGATCTGGACACTCTCCCCTCAAATATACGTGCTAACGTCTTTTATTATTGAGTGGAAGAACCTTAACAAAGAAGAGGAGATGAAATGGGTGCGAGTTCCTCCAAATATCAGTAAATATTACATTTATGGTGAGTGTGTGCTGGAAAGTAGAATATATTATGTTAACATGGAGCAGCAAAATGGGACATTACTGAGCTCTGTGATTCCTTCTCCCCCTCTTTGTTCCTGATTTATGATAAGGACCAGCAGAGCAATTCCTAATCATCATTAGAGCACCGACTGTAAAGGATTGACTGCTGCATTTATAATCAGGTTAACAAAGACTGAAGCTCAGGAGCGTGTTCATTTTTTGGCAGTACAAAAAAATCAGCTCTGGAATATTGAATACGCCGGCTAATATCTTAAGTTAATGTGTTCATTCCATTTGCATTTTGGCTTTAATCTTAAAATTTATTACAATAGCTCCATAAAGGTGTTAATTCCATGACAGAATAATGCTAGATTGTCCTGTATAGATTAATGGGTTTAATCTTCTGATATTGGGGGTGCTGGTCGATGAGAAAATGAACATGAGCCAGCTTCAGTGTGTGCTTGCAGCCCAGAAAGCAACCGTATCCTGGGCTGCATCAAAAGGAGTGTGACCAGCAGGGCGAAGGAGGTGATCCTGCCCCTCTGCTCTGCGCTTGTGAGACCTCCCTTGGAGCATTGTGTGCAGTTCTGGTGTCCTCAACATAAATCACAGAATCCCAAGGGTTGGAAGGGACCTCAAGAGATCATCTATCTGGTCCAACCCCCCTGCAGGAGCAGGGTAACCTAGAGTACATCACACAGGAACTTGTCCAGGTGGGCCTTGAATATCTCCAATGTGGGAGACTCCACAACCCCCCTGGACAACCTGTTCCAGTGCTCTGGATCTGTTGGAACAAGTCCAGAGGAGGCCACGAGGATGCTCAGGGGCTGGAGCACCTCCTGTATGAAGATAGGCTGAGAAAGTTGGGGCTGTTCAGCCTGGAGAAGAGAAGGCTGCGTGGAGACCTCAGAGCAGCTTCCAGTATCTGAAGGGGGCCTATAGGGATGCTGGGGAGGGACTCTTCGTTAGGGACTGTAGTGATAGGACAAGGGGTAATGGGTTAAAACTGAAACAGGGGAAGTTTAGATTGGATATAAGGAGGAAATTCTTTCCTGTTAGGGTGGTGAGGCACTGGAATGGGTTGCCCAGGGAGGTTGTGAATGCTCCATCCCTGGCAGTGTTCAAGGCCAGGTTGGACAAGGCCTTGGGTGATACGGTTTAGAGCGAGGTGTCCCTGCCCATGGCAGGGGAGTTGGAACTTGATGATCTTAAGGTCCTTTCCAACCCTAACTATTCTATGATTCTATGATTCTATTAAAGTATGTATCTGTAAAAGACAGCTTTCATTATTCCCCTCTCTGTGCTGATCTGAGCTCAGATATGTGACCAGAGCACCTGTGGAGGTGATTGTTTAAAAGCAGGATAATAGTTGTGATTCAGAAGGTTGATTTCCTCTTTCCAGATCACTTTATCCTGATCGAGAAGTACCAGTTCAGCCTGTATCCTGTGTTTGCTGGAGGAGTTGGCAAACCCAGAGCAACGGATCAGTTTACCAAAGGTGACTTACAGGATCTTTCTCCCTGTTGTTTATTAAATAGGAGCTTGTAAAAGTAACATTTAAATGCAGGAGAAGTCTGTATCTTACCAGAAAAACATGTCAGTTTTATTTATATCTGTATATATATATATTGTCAGTTTAATTATATTTGTAATTATAATTGTAATATAACTGTGTGTAATTATAATTGTAATATAGCTATGGACGATGATTTAGATGCAAACTACTTGTACACAAACTATTAAACTGCATTATTAACTGAATCCCTTTAATTTCCAGCTGGATATGAAAATGAGAACAATGCCAACCTCTATGTGGTTCTGCCAATAGTCATTTCAACCTCAGTTTTGTTGCTTGGAGCACTGCTGGTTTCACACCAAAGGTGGGTTGTTCATTGTCATCTCAGAAGAAGGGGATGCAGCTTAGGGGATGCCTCAGTGCTGAACTAGTGGGCAGGATGTTTTTGGGGAAAGCTAGGGATTGTTTATGCATATTTTTGATGTACTGTACTGAAAGGCAGGGGACAGTGGAATACAGCACCCAGAACTGAGTGCAGTCCTGTTACCTTGTGAAAATGTCATTGTCACAGTGCTCTGGATAAATAAAACTGCACAGATTCCTTTTCTGACACAGCAGAGGGGAATAAGAGCAGTACAGAGAGTATGAGAGCAGTACCAACTCCAGGATTTACCTCATGTTTCAGAATGAAGAAGCTGTTTTGGGAAGATGTTCCAAACCCCAAGAACTGCTCCTGGGCACAAGGAGTTAATTTTCAGAAGGTGTGTATTCCCCTAGTGATGTCTCTTCCTCCACCCCACTGCTCTGACTGCTGTTGGGTAGACCAGACCCTGCCTGATTACTGAATGAAGCCACCTGAGTCTCCAAAGTCACCAGTGCAGCACTTCCCTTGGCTGTAGAGAGCTGGCACGTGGGACCAGGCCACGACCAGAGACTGACATCTCTTTTGAGTGTAGCTGGTGTTTACATTTCAAGGCAATCAGTAAATCAGTTGCAGAATCCCATGGGTGTAAGTGCTTGTGCAGCTCAGCAAGTGCCACGTGTGTATCAAAGGCCAAATTCTTTGCTGGGATAAACAGCCTGTGATTTGGGTGCTCTGGTGGGTTGTAGAGTCTTCATGGGGGCTTAGCAGTAGACTAAGCTCCTCATGGTCCCAGCATCCAACATTGTGCAATCACTGAGACAATAATCCAAATTCATGCCTGTTATTTCTAAAAAAGCATCTCACGGCAGAAGATTTTTCAGGTATTTAATTTGCATTCCCCAATGAAGGTTTCTTTTTCTCATCTTTTATTTCATGGCACAATTTGGGTTGGAAAGGACCTTAAAGCTCCTCCAGCTCCAACCCCTGCCACAGGCAGGGACCCCTTCCAGTGGAGCAGCTTGCTCCAAGCCCCTGTGTCCAACCTGGCCTTGAGCACTGCCAGGGATGGGGCAGCCACAGCTTCTCTGGGCACCCTGTGCCAGCGCCTCAGCACCCTCACAGGGAAGAGCTTCTGCCTAAGAGCTCAGCTCAGTCTCCCCTCGGGCAGGTTCAAGCCATTCCCCTTGGCCTGTCCCTACAGGCCCTTGTCCCAAGCTCCTCTCCAGGTTTCCTGCAGCCCCTTTATGCACTGGAGCTGCTCTTAGGTCTCCCCTTCAGGAGCCTTCTCTTCTCCAGGCTGCCCCAGCCCAGCTCTCTCAGCTTTTCATTTCACTTAAACAGAGAATGGACATTCCTTGAAGCCTGATCATGATCAGTGCCTGCTGAACCACTGGGCCAGCTTCCTGGCTTTCTGTACGGAACTGTTGGAAGACTGTTATATTTCTGTTCAGCAGACAGGAAGCACAGATGCAACACGAGTTGTTTAAATACAATGTGTCCTGGAAGGAACTTGGTCAAAAATCTAAAATGCCCTTGAAAAAATTAGGAGCAAAACCAATCCCCAGTTTGTCACTTGCTCAGGCAGAAGCACTGACTTTGGATTTAGTGGTTTTAACTTTTCTTTGCTGCTCTGCAGACTGGCAAAGGGCTGAATCCTCTCAAGCCCTGGTTCTCAGAAGGAGTTGGGAGAGCCCAGCCCTTGCTAGGATGCAGCCCAGGAAGCAGAGCCATCAGATTGGTTTGGAATTTATCCAGCTTGAGTGCAAGATCTGCCCAGTTACAGCTCCCAACTCCACTTGAAAGTAGTTTCTTGTTCTAATTGAGTGTTTGTTCTAATCGAGAGCCAGCTTGGGAGTTTCCACTGACTCCAGGCACATCAAAGTGATCAGATCTCTATTCACACAAGCACTTCGTTGTCCCATTATGGTCTTTTGAGCTTTTTGTATGCATTTGGGTGCAGCAGCAACTCAGAGAATGCAGAAACTGGGTGTGTTTTGTGCCTTACTGAGCTTTTTATTTGCTTGCTTTTTCCTGGAAATACCAATGTGCATGTTATTTATACAGCTTCTTCATTTGCTGTCATTTAAATACGCAGCCACCCCAGTGCAGGTGCATGAGTAATCTCTAACATTCTATCTGTACTGGGAAAAGAGGCCAGAAATCCTCAAGGAAGATGCGGTTTTGGTGGTAGGTGGAAGGGGTCTGTGAATTGATCTTAATTGCAGGGGTATGAGTAGCACCAGCACAACTGTATTTGTCTGATCTTCATCTATAGCAAAAGGAGTTCATGACAACCCTCACTGTCCCCACCTGCAGAGGGGCATGAAGTTCACATGTTGGATTTAGCACGTTGGAAATGATTCTCCTCACTGACTGGTTGAGCTGAAAGAAGGGTATTAAAGTTGATGAAGTTCTAACTAAAAAGGAAAGGTGAAGCTGACACCCTGGGAATCCTGCTCTGTATCCGTATGCCTGGCCCCATAATTAATGGGGAAAAATGATGGAAGATGAAAGGAAGTGAAGTTTGACATGCTTTTTGACAGCTTGTGAAGTAGGATGCATGCCTCTTCCATGCCTTGTCCTAACCTCACTGGGAAACGTTAACTGCACTCAAAGCACAGGGTCTGTCCTCAGGTTGGCATCTCTCGCTCATGAGTGTCCAAGGCTGGCACATGTTCTTTGAAACCATGTTTTTGGAGCCAGATCCTGCTTTTTTGTATGCGTGGATGGAATTTCCTGGACAAAAAGCAGTGTACAGCTCACATGTGATATTTTTCTTTAGTTGTGATAAGCATTGATTACATAAATAGCCTCTATACCACTGCTGGGAACTTCTGATGTCATTCTGAAGGCATTTGATATGGAACTCTTGTCTTGTCCTGGTACACAGCCATATTAAATCATCTGATCCTTACTTTGTATATTCAATATCTCACATTTGGTACTCCAGAACTGCATTTATAGACTATTCTATCCTGATTGTATTGCTTGCAGCAGCAAGATGGTGTTTAAGGTCCCTTCCAACCCAAACCATTCCACAAATCTATGACTCCTAACCTAAACCAGGCAGGTCTTGCATCTAGACTCTGTCATGCAAGCCTTTACATGTATGCATAATGTCAAAAATCATAAAAATTCCTCTTATCTGCTCAATAAAATACTAATGTTTTAGTCTCCTGCAATGTTGGAGAGATGACTTAAACACAGCTACAGATATTATTTTACAGGGAAATTAATACTAAACTTGCAAAGACTTATGTGTATCTAAATTATCCTGCTGTGTCCATCAGCTGATCTGCAATGTGTGGAGTTAAATGTATGGGAAAGTCCAAATCTGGCCATGGCAGAATTAGGCCAGCAGCATATTTTGCTATACCTGTGTTTAGCAGCTGGAGTGCAAAGTAATTCTGACCTGAACCCAGCTCAGGCTTCCAGCTCAGAGGTAGCCTGGGGCTTCTGAGACAAATACAGCTTAAACCCTAGAGTGAGCAGGAGAGCAAAATACAGCCTTGTTTGACATTCCTGGCTTGGTTGGATCTCGTTTCATCTGCTGGGCAAAGTTTGGGAGCTGGTGACCCAAGACTGACTTTTCCAAAGTATGGAGCTATTTTGCCTGTTGTTTAACACAGTTGGTGTCCAGATTATATTGCACATGCTTCTGCTATGGAAATCCAGCACTGTTCTCCCAGTTTACTGAGTAATTGTGAGATGAGAGAGTTCTACATCTTCTCAGAACATTGGAATATGTGTTATACTGGATTAAATACCTGACACGTTTTAATAAGTGATGTGACATGCTTTAAGAAGAGATGGTGGCCTTTGCCAAGCAGCACATCTGCCTCTGAATGGAATGTATTTAACCCTTGCAGGCAATATTATCTGTCTTTGTGTTTTCTGTGCATCTGTAAGAGCAGATACCAGTGCTGGTGTGAGGGAGCACACAGGTCTTGGAAGGAATATAAACCATCTCTGTTGAAGATAAACTGGATGCTGCTTGTAGGAGGGCAGGTCTATTGGAAGGAAATGTGGGGACTTGGTTGTTAAAAGCTTCCTTTTAACAGACAGAGGGGAGACTGAGCTGAGCTCTTAGGCAGAAGCTCTTCCCTGTGAGGGTGCTGAGGCGCTGGCACAGGGTGCCCAGAGAAGCTGTGGCTGCCCCATCCCTGGCAGTGCTCAAGGCCAGGTTGGACACAGGGGCTTGGAGCAAGCTGCTCCAGTGGAAGGGGTCCCTGCCCGTGGCAGGGGTTGGAGCTGGAGGTCCCTTCCAACCCAAAGCAGTCTGGGATCCTGTGATTCCTGTTAATGTGTGTCTCCCATTTGAAAATGTCATTGGGGGCGGTCAGTATACGCTGGTTGGCTGTGGTTGTGTCGGTGTCAGTGCAGAGCAACCCTGAGAGAGATCACTTTCACCAGACAATACCAGTTACGATTATTACAGCCTGGTGTATACAGATAGTAGCAGCCTACACCTTATTTCAGTAGCCTGATAATGTTATATGCAGTTACTGGTATCATTTTGAAGAGGAGGAGAGATTCCAGTGCACAGATTGGTTTCAGAGTAGGAAGACGATGGGCTTCTGAGCAGCAAGTACCAGAGCAGTTAGACACCAGAGCTCACCAGCTTTGCCAAATGAGGGCATAGGTGCTACCAGTAGCTAGTCTAGACTAAAGCTAGGAGAGGTAGTGTAGACTCTTCCATAATTGCAGACTAGTCTAAGCATTTTGACATGTTTCTAGCTGTTTTGGCAGCTTTCCTGCTGTAGAACATGGTTTGCTGATACACACAGAAACTGTTTCCATCTATTTGGTTTGCCTTGAATTCATTAGCAAATACAGGGTTTTCAAGTGAATTCTCCTCTGTAGCTAGGAGACCCACTTCATGCTGTTGTAAGTTTTATGTGCATATATACTAGGTAGTAGTAAAGCCCATGTTTCTCCAAAATAATGGTGTGTTTCTCTTTGTGCAGTTCAAGCGTACAGCTCCTATTCTGATGAGAATGCTCTAAAAATGCTATAGAAAGGCTGAATTTGACCCCATATACATAATCCTAGCAGGGAAAGTTCCTTGAGTTGACATGTAAATGATGAAGTCTATGGGTTATACAACCTAAATAGGAAGCCAGGGATGTTTAAGGGTACACTTCATACAGGGTAAGCAGAACACTTGCTTTGCAGCACGTGACCACACCAACAGCTTCTCATGTCTTTGTCTTGTCCTTGGTCTTTACTTACACACAGACATAAAGAGAAGAGGGCAATGTGATTTAGAGGATTTTCAGCAATATACTCATACTAAAGCTATGGGGGGGGGGGGTTGTCTGTGATTCTTGACATCAGTAGCTTAATCCTGAACTAAGACTGAGCATTAAAATCTATCTTCTCTTCTAGCCTGAAACTTTTGAGCATCTCTTCATCAAGCACCCCGAAGCAATGTCATTCGAGCCTCTTCTTCTGGAACCAGCAATAGTGCTGGAAGACATCAGTGTCACTCACGTGTTGAAAAAGGAAGGCTCTCAAGACTTTTTAGTCATTGATTCCATGTTTGCAACACCACAAGACTCTGCACATGACTCTGCTTGCTCCAGCAGCCATTTCCATAGTAGCAGCTTCTCTGAGAGTTCCCACGATGGCCAAAGCAGTGCAGAAGTGACAGGGGAGTCTGATATTAAATACGCTACTGTCCTCAGTAGCTCCAGATTAAGTGGCCTTTATGAACACAAAGTGAGGCCAAGAAGTTGCTTTGATAGATGCCTCTTAGCTGAAGACTCCTCAGCTACAGGCTCCTTCTCAAGCAGCCCCTGGGTGGTGGGAAATGGGGCATTTCTGGTACTCCCTGATGCTCCCATCAGGCAGCCCAAGACTCTCTCCCTGTCCCTCATCTCTTCAGAGGGATTTTCAGAGCCTTCAGATCATGATGATGCTTTCCCAGATGGAGACAGCCCTGAGCAGAGCTTGTGTTACCTGGGAATAACATCACTGGGAAAAAGGGAGAATGACGTTTTCTTAACAGACAGCTCCGGAGTGATGTGTCAGTTGCATGCAATGGATCAGCTCCAGGATGGGGGGGTTCTGCAGCACACACCACCTCATTTAAATGCCTTTATCCAAAGCAGCCTTCAGTACAAAGTCATCATGCCATACATGCCACAGTTCCAGATGACTGCAGCCAAGGTGAAGGAGAGCACAGAGAAGACCTCTGAAGTCACCACACCATGACTTGATGCACTTAATGGTGTTTTAGGTGTTGGTATGTTCTCCTGTTTTCCCTTTGCTGACCTGTTGCAGGAGTTCTCCTGATTTGAAGCTGGGTAACTGGTTCTGGATCTGAGTGCCAGGGTTTTAGCAGGAAGAAGTTCCATTTCTTCACCTATTTTTCAAATGGGAGGCCTTGCTTTTGGGATTTGTTTGTGTTCAAACCTCTGGTTGTTCAAGCCTCTGGTGCCATAATCTCTGTGCCAGTGCCTGTCAGGTGTATGTGCGAGCACTCCAGTGAAGAACTGCACTTGGAATTGGACTCAGTGCCATGGACATTCAGGTGAAAGGACTGGATGTGATCCCAATGGACTGTGTTTTCCATAGCAGAGTGTGTCTATTGGCAGCACAGATCCACACACACACATTTCTTCTCAAACATCACAGCAAACTGTCCTGAAAGAGCTTGTTGTTGGTTTAGGGTTTGCTTTGGGGCCTCAAGGGCGAGACAGGAAGGAGTGAGCTAACATGGAAGTTGAAATGTGTACATGTGAGGTGTTTTTTTGGGGGGGAAAGCTGGGACGAGTCATTTCCCTGGGAATGATTTGTGACACTGAGTGCAACAGGGTCAGTTGACCTGGATGCGGTGCAGACTCCAGGCTATGATACACTTAAGCTGGTGGGAAATGGATGCACTGTACAAATACCCAACATCATTGTTAGGCTTTTTTCCTCCCATATCCTGATGTGTGTATTGCTGAGCTGACATCTGGGTTAAACAGAGCTTGTGAACACACAAATGGTCCCCATGAAAAAGCAGTGGGAACACTGTGTTTCAGCTGCTGGAAGGGAGGCCCTGATCAAGGACAGCCCCTAACCTGTGGCTGCTGTTACAGGGTCTCCTTTAAAGTGAATTGAAAATACTCATCAGCAGCATCAAAGAGCATCATGATGCCAGAGGAAAGAATCAAAACTCTTGTGGCTGCCTGAATCGCGGGGTGTTATCCGGGTAAAACCATGTACTTGGAAGTAAAATGTCCATGTTCTTGTTGTTGAGCATGGGATTCTAGTACAAATGGTACTGCTGCCCAACTAACATCGTTTCCAACCCCCTTTCCTAAGAGCCTGTAGTGAGAGACATCACTTTGCCTTCACAAGCCCTGTGCTGCTCAGCTGGAAAGCTTCAGGTGGGAGGAAAACTGCATCTTGCATCTGAGCTGTATTTTCTGGGATGAGCAGGTAAAGAAACTACACTTGCTGGAAAGCCAAGTGTATCTTTTTCTACTTGATAGTAAATATTTTTGTAGACATTCCAAAGAGCTATTTTGAGGAGCTAAGAGAGGTGAATATATTCTGTATTCCAAAGCTAAATTCATGAAAACTTACATAGGTACTTAAACCCAAAAGGGCAAACCCCGGCAATGACAGTACATGGTAGGAGAGGTGTGGAAACATTGAGTATCAGCAGTAAGAAATCCTAAGGAGCAGAAGGGACCACAGCAAGTGTGTGTCTGCACTTTGGAGTTAAGCTGAGCTTTACCAAGGCCCCCACAGCTTTTTCTTACTGCATGTGACACAGATCCAATGTACTTGTTCCGGAGCTGTTGTGTGGGATTAAAACCTGTTTTGTGTGAGTGACCAGACATCGTTGTCACTTGAAAATGGGCTTGGAGCCTGCAGGGACAAACCAGAAGGGTCCTGCAGAGTCCCAGCTGCGAAGCTGTGATCAGCACCCAGGTGAATGCTGAGCTTGGAACTCAGAACAGAACTTCCCTCCTGCTGGCATGTGAACCTGACCTGATGCAACCTCTGCAGTCCCATGATTCCCCTGGGAACGGGCTCGGCTGCTGCATTCTGCCTCTCCTGATGGCTTGTCCACCAGATCCAGCATCCCCTGAAGGTGTGGGGAGGCTGCTGTAGCTTGGCTGCCCCCACACTGTCCCAGCTAATGCCACAGGGGATCCCTTGTGATGTGATCAAATTTGGGGTGGAAGACCTGGATCTCTGCACATCAGCCTTCTCCTCTTGCTAGCCTGGGGTGCAGAGTAATGGGAGCCACTGAAACATGGTTGTGTGAGAGCTGGAGACCGGAAGAATAAATGTGGGGTTCACCATCAGGTTTGAGCTTTCTTTAGTTGCAGTGTCCAGAAAAGATACTTGGTTGTGTTTGAAGAACATCAATCTCCAGGAAACTAAAAGCTCACATTGATCTTACCATACCAAATCCTTATCCAATGCCTCTGTGAGGACAGGAGGACCACGAACCACAGGAATGATCAGAACCAGAGAAGGCTTTCCTGGGAAGAGGCAGGAGTTCATCTCTCCCATCACGCAGGACTCCGACATGCCTCTGAGCTAATGGGAGAAGAGCATTCACAGCCTTGGTGTTGCTCAGCTGTGCTGGAGGGTTCTGTATTAACAAAGCAGTGCAGGATGTCTCCCTTAGGGAAGCAGGTGGATATCCAGCTATTCCCACCCCTAGAAGCCTGGCCTGTTTTCCTGGGTGCCTCTGCCATCTCCCTGTGGGGTTCTCATGGCCAGTGCCTGTGGTGCTCCTTAGAAACACAGATTGACCTGGTATTTACAAAACCCCTGCTGTCCATGTAAGAACTACTGCAAATGTTACCTGATCCCTTGTGCTTCAGCAAAGCCAAAAGGTTTTAAGTGTAATTACTGTGGAATCAAGCAATAGGATCCCTTGTGTAGTTGTGCCTTTCCTGAAGCAGACTCCAGGCCGTATCCCCAGTCCCAGTGTCTGACAGTGCAGGTGAACCGGGTCCTGACCACAGGAAGGGCAGGATGCAGCTGTGTGGGGTTGTTCAATAAGCACTTCCTGCAGCAGGCTTCCAGTGTGGCCTTTGCATTCCTGTGGAACGGACCCAGTCTGCTCCTTACCCCTGCTCCTGTAGAGAGCCAAACCCTGCATATCCTGAAGCGCCATCAGCTGCTGCCTGCCCTTTCCCAGGCTCCAGTTACAGCTTCAGCTCCTGTGGGCAGTGTCTGCCTTTGGGAAAGGGAATGAAGAGCTGCGGTGAGTTACCACATGCTTTCCTCACGTATTTGAACCCTCAGCCTCAGGTCATTCCCTTGTTTAACAAAGCCAAGTAGTTCCCACAGCATGTTGGGTAACTGTGGTTCATTCCACGTTCACAGCAGCCTCCTTTTGCAGGGCAGCTCGTGATTTACACAGGAGCAGAACCACATCTGCTTATTCCTGGGTGCAGGGGTGGTGCCTGGGCAGAGGCACTCTGTAAAGGGGTGTTGGAGGGTGGCTTTCCCTGTCTGGTGCTCTGTTGCATGAAAGGGGCTGGAGCAGTGTGCACCTGGCCAGTGCTGAGCTGCTGGCCTGTGTTCAGGATTGGATTGGGGTTGGTGGATACTCAAAACCCAGTTCCCCCTCTATGTACTGGAGACACACTCCATCATGGCAGCGGAGTTCTGCTTGTGGCAGTAGTCTGAGTGTTGGTTTTTAAGGGTAGGTATGTCATCCTGAAGTGCACGGGAGCTCTAAATGCTGCACAGCAATTACACCTGCAGCACAACCCTTCTCAGGCACAGCTATAGGAACACAGAATGGGTTGGGTTGGAAGGGGCCTTAAAGCTCATCCAGTTTAAACTCCAGAGCAGAGCTGCTCCAGCCCTCACAGCATCTCCATGGCCTCCTCTGGACAGCTGCATTCCCAAAGCCTCAGTGGCAGGGTTGTGGCTCTCCCGGCAGAGCCCTGCACTGCTGGCACACAGCTCTGGGAGCACCAACAGCACCCACAGGAACAACTCCCCTTCCATAAGAGCCGAACTGGAAAGGGCAGCACCTTCAGGGCTGGAATCCCGCCTGGGTTTGGCAGGTGTCCTTCTGTTCACTAATTACGCTAAACAAAGGCAAAGGGAATCGGCTGTGTGAGGCTCTAATTAGAACCCATCAGGAGCTGCTTATGCAAGAGCTGTCATCAGCAATGCAGGGAGAGGCACTGAGAAGCTCTCTTCAGGAGAGCTGAAAGTCACTTTTGATGGCTTAGGAAACAACGCGGTGTCCTGCTGCTGGGGAATGAATGGGAAAACAAATGATGAGGAGAGATGAAGGGAAGGAGACCCTGGGGGGGCTTTTCATGTCTGTGGAAAGCCATGGACGGGGAGGCCTCTGGGCTGTGTGGAGCCTGTGTGTGCTAAAGGTCACACTTCTCTTTGTAGTCTGGCTGTAATTAAGTGTCTTGTCCTGCCTTTCCTGTCACCAGCAACGTGCAGCACCTCTTTACACGGCCCTGGATGGGTCCATTCTGCTTGCAAATGAAGCCCTTTCCCTATCACCCAAAATGACTTTAAAACCATCTATTTATGCCTTCAACCGTGAGCACAGCACTGAGGACCGGCACCAACCAACCAGCCTTCTGCTCCTACTTGTAGAGAGAAACTCAGCA